GTCATCCAGAAGAACTCGGAACACTACTTGGAAGACTCAACTCAACTAGCTACGATAACTACTATAGATATTACAGTATTGGCGCCTTCCAACTTTGTATCTACTTCTAGAGCTAGTCACCAAATCCAAGCCTGGCAATGCCGCAGCTTCCTACTTGCTGGAAAACACAGATGCAGCACACGCCATGGCACTGAATCGCCAAGCTACAATGATAGTATCATTGAGCGGTCTCCAGGCCTATACCACCAATGTGCTTATAGCGGAGCTAACCAAAGTCTTCACTTCAATGGCACAACTACAATAAGCTCAAGCAACAATACAGTCACACATGGGCTCACTACAACTACAATCAATGGTATAGATCTTTGTCACTGTACATTGGCAGTGAGTGACTTCCTCCATTGGACATACATTGATGACTGGACAACTTTGTCAATTGGACAGAAGCAATTTGAACAAAGACTACTAGCTAAGACTGAAATGGTAAAAATTATCCACTTGGCAACTTGTCTATGTACCAACGCTTTCTACATGAAGCAATCGACCACTTCAACTGAAGACCAAATGGATTCTGACCATATTGTTGCTCAGGTTCATGGGGAGCAGACCAGTGCAACCACTGCTCGAAGGCAACGAGCCACTCCTTGATGGCTTGCCTCAGCATATAACTAAACAGTACAAGACGACATTGTACCAACTACACATATGGCATACCTTGTTGCCATTACATCATGTGAACGAAGTTTTTCACCTGAAAAGGTTTTCTTTGCCTCATATTGATGGACCCAAGACTACTGAGACTGTTACCAACAGCTCATCAAGACCCAATACAAACCCGCACAAATGACATATTGTACTGTCGTTCCACCGTGTTAGAGAGGCTATTGCATCCAATACGCTCTCTTTTCTACACATTGAAGGTGCTAAACACCCGGCCGATATCCTTAGCAAAAGATATCAACAAATATGGCCACAGCTACGTACCCTACTTTCCTGAGTAGATGACACAGCTGAGGAGGACTAGGTCCTCACTCACTCACCCATTTGGGGAGTGACAGAATTGTATCAAGAACGGGTTTCATGATTTGGACCAATACGATTCAATCGTTAGCGGTCTTATGGGTCTTATAGTAATTAGTAGTAAAATAGATATGATGACGTGTCCTCGGATGAGAACAGTTGGAACTTTGCGCTCAAGCGCATCAACTGTTCGTCAATTCCCGATCGACTCATTGCGTCGTGTTTTGTTTACCTTGAATTGATATATTATCTTCTAGTGTAATCTCAAGCGTTCATCCAAGAATCATAATATTCTGTTAGAGAAGAAAAAGGATTGAAGAGGATGGAAGGAGGAAATGGAGGAGAATAGAGTTAGTGCTTCAGTCCTTTATGAAAGAGTGGTATGCGGGCACTCACCAGTGGTGCATCCTTTTCTCTTGCTCTTTTGGCGCGGGGACAGGAAAACGTTAACCGTGTGTTGTTCTTGGTTTTGTTTTTCCTTAAATGGATCACTGAACATGAACAGTGTCTCAAAAGCTTCTTGATGGATGAGCTGCTATAAAACTCAAAAATCAAAAACTAAAAGGTAGAAAATATTTTTCCACGCACAGCACCAAAACAGAACTGTACCAGTCCTACGCGTTTTCTACGTAAAGGAAAACAGTTGTTGTTGCTGAAACAGGAAAGAAATTTACTTTATCACGAAGGCTAACATCATCAACCCGCCGGAGAAGGATCCGAATTTGATCACGACTGTAGCTGACCAAGGTCAGGGAGGTCTCGAGGAAAAAAAACGATCAAATTCGACCACTCAATTGTCAATTGCTCTGACCAAGGATAATCCTGCCATCACGACTCCCAAGCGCAGCAGCAAGCAAAACCCTTCAGAAACCGCCGAGGATGGCGCAATGAAAGGACGCTCGCTCTTCCCATCTGAAGTTGCCCAAGGTCAGGACGTCCCCACAATCAACACTCCACCGATTCCGACCACTCCTTTGTTGATCAATTTAACCAAGGACAATCCGCCTGATCCCACAACTTCAAAGAGCCAACGCAAGCAACCCCCTCCTTCCAAAACCGCCAAGGATGGCGCAGTGCAAGGACGATCGCTCGTTGCCTACATCACGAAACTCAAGGTGTCACAGTTTCACAGGCTCTACAAGAAGGCTTTGAGACAGGAGGTGTTTGCTCTTGCAACGGCCCAACGCGTTATCACTACTGACAAAAAGTCGCCTCGCTTTTGGGAATTTTTGCTTGTGTTCGACCCGACATTAATTGTTCAACGCGCCTAGCCGTTGACTTGGATGTGGCTAGCGGCATCCGAATTCTTTGCTAATCCTTGGACAGTCCCTGCTATCATTCCTCACATTGTGGAGGAATTCAAGCGACTCAAACGAGAGTCCAAGTTTAAGAAGCGACTCGCATCCACGCCAGCGAATCCAAAAGGTGCCGAGGCACACGATTCTCCCGAGAACCTCAATCCAAGCAATGAACCCATGGAATTTGTTGAAATCGTTTGGCATGCCTTGACAACGGCGTTTCCAACAAAACAAGGTTGGAACCAGAACGAAGATATATATCTATATCTATATCTATATCTATATATATCTATATCTATATATCTATATATCCATATATCTATATCTATATATATATACTATATATATATATATCTATATCTATATCTGAATCATTAATTGGTTTTTATGCTACTTCTAGAGTATCCAACTGCCGGTGTAATATATATATATATATATATATATATATATATATATATATATATATATATATATATATATATATATATTTCTCACTGCACGTTGTTTTACCTGAATTGATCTTTATCATCTTGTAGAATAGCAGTCGCACTATAGGCTTTAAGTCATTTCTGTCAATTGGACTGGCCTCCCCATGTGTTGTTGTTATGGATGAAGGTGCTCGGTGAATCTGACTGCAAATCAAAAAGATTTCGGTTTCGAATATCGGCCGGGCTTCCACTTAACATGCTATCGTTCTGGTCATACTCGTATGAATGCTTGAGCACTAATGCGTCGATGTAGCTAGACATGGTGATGTAGACGGTGATTGATATAGCTAATAGGGATGTGTATCTATTGGGAGGCTGAAGCAACAGCTGAGTAGATGATGGGTGATCGATCTGATGTGTGGGAATCAATCAACGCCCCACGCCCAACATTCAATCGCTCATTCACTTCTGCTCGGGACTCGGCAGTCCAGTCACGTTCAACGTTACGTACCACAGTTGCCACGAATGACAGTAGTCCCGTGAAGTTTTAATGATCAATCAATGATGATAGCCTGACAATCATTCATTCGTTCAATCATCATCTCATCCGTTGTTAACAAAAACAACGACAGCGCCATGAAGGCCCTTAGGCAACTTCCAGCACTTATATTTTTCTTCTTCCAAACAGCTTCTGGATTTCTGCCGAAGGTAAAAGAACGTGGAAAGCCATCACACATGAAAATGTCCTTGAAACCAGCAGCCATACCTTTGATGGATTCGGGGAAAGCACTAGCAAGATGTGGGGAGATTCTCATCGATCTGACTAGCTCCTTGAATCTTTATGGCGGTGGATTGTCAGCAGCAGGAGCACAAATACGCAACTCCGGTGACTGTGTGGCACAGGCTGCGGCTTCGTGCCGATTCAAAACAGCAGGAGAACTTGTATGTGACGAATTACGAGAAGGTGCAACGTGCTTGTTAGAAGCGGCAGACAAGCTCAAGCTAGCAATTGATGAGGCATACATAGATGACGATCCCGCACTTGCGGCAGCGATGGGTAAGCTTTCGCCCTGTATTTATGCATTTGAAGTGATTGCTGACTTTTGATTCACGGTTTTTCTCATTGTGGCAGAAAAAATGGCAGATACTTTGGGAAAAGCAGGAAATGATCTGGAGGGCGCTGGTGCTTGTATCATGATTCGCCTTCCAGTTTCTGAAGTTGGCGTCAAGCTAGGGGGCTGTGGCCAATCACTAGAGAAAATTTCGAAACAGATTCTGGACCTTGCACCTGAACAAGTCGAATCCACAGAGAGCTCGCAAAGAATGGCATACGCAGCACAGAAGATGGTGGAAGCAGCTAATGAACTGCAAAGCTTGAAAAAGCCTACTCCAAAAGGAAAAGGGTGGCTGAAACAGTAATAGCTTAGCACTACTTCATTCGCTCGGTCTTTGTTGATTTCGGGCGCCAAGTTAGAACATTTTCTTTAATTCATTATCGTTTCCAAAGTCCCTGCTTTATCAACTAATTAAAACTTTCAGCAGAAAGACGGATCTGCCATGTATCAGAAAATTGGAAAACGTCGACTATTGTTGTCAAGCTGACTTTTGCTGAACTTGAAATGGAGCTTTGGTAACAGAATGGAGACTTGCTGTGGCAGACGATTCACTGCTGAGGTGGGCAACCTTCTCACTCTTTTTTCTTCATGATGTTAAATCTTACTCTCTCCTCACAGGGTTCACGGCTTCCGAAACGGCGTTGTCGTTGTTGGTACCACGCAAGTGCCGCCTCCCAACAGTCCCGATTAAAGTCAGGCCACATTGCACGAGCGATGTAGATCTCCGAATAGGCGCAGTTCCAGAGCAAAAAGTTTGATAGTCTTGACTCGCCACTTGTTCTGATGATCATGTCAGGATCAGGGGTCCCTGCAGTGCCCAAGAATGAAGCGAACACCTCCTCGGTAATGTCATCTGGATTCTCAATTTTGCCATCTTTGACTGCAATTGCCAATAATTTTGTGGCACGAAGAATGTCTTGCCGTCCACCATAATTGATTGCCAAGTTGACGGTCATTGGTGTTGAAGTGATACTGCTTTGGAGCAATGCTAATCGTCTCTTCTCGTTTGCATCTTGCAAACCCCGAAGCGCTGCCCGCAAGCCTTCTGGTATCCTGGTATCGTCCAAGTCTCCAAGAAGCCTTATTTCAATTTCTGAGGTTTCTGGAGGAAACCGATTGGCAAATCGGTTCGCTAGTTGTTCCATCAATTCGAAAATCGACTGTATTTCGGCTTCTGATCGCTTCCAATTCTCTGTGGAGAATCCAAAAAATGTACAGTATTGGATGCCATCTGCTTGGAGGTATTCTATTAGTTCGACGAATCGATCAGCCCCAATAATATGACCCACAGCTGTTGGTAAGCACCTATTCTTTGCCCAACGAGAATTGCCATCGCAAATAACGGCAACATGCCTGGGAACCCTCAAATCGGGCGCAAAATACTGACTTCCACTACTCGAATATAGGTTCCAACCATTGGAGTTTCCTTTTTTACTTGAGAACTTTCTCGTCTGATGATGGATCGATGGGATCACGAATGCCTCAGAGATCGGTGTGAGGCTGCAGAGGAAGAAAGCGGCCAGAAGAAACGAAAGCTTTCTAGAGAGAAGAGCGGTCACGATTTCTTTGCTTATTTCGCCACTCTTTCCTTGTGACTTTTTGACCATAACAATTAGCAGATGAGCAAGAAGAGAAATTCCTATATGATTGCTTTATCGCATCAGTGTCTGGGTCCACCGCAGGATTCCAGCTTCTGTCAAGTACAGTAGAAACATACAGTATTATCCCATCCACGTTTTTGGACTCGGCCCTGATTAGGGCTGACCTCATTTAAAGTTTTAATCGGTATAAGTTTACGGTTCCGATTTTACAGCGAGCCGCTTTTCTACCAGGTGCGCCGTAATAAACGTACACAAAAAACGTGCATCCTCACGGGCGCATGGTTCTTTCGGATCTTGGAAGATTTGCTCCCGGGAAGGTTTCTGGTGAGGGTATAAGTTGTAACAGTTGAGAATTTTGTGCATTCTATAACTATTATGTACTGTCTGTCCGTCTGTGTCATTGACTTGTGTGACAAAAACAAAAACAACACCGTCGATGATGTTTTTTTGCCATAATAACAGTGTGTTTGTAGCACCAATTCGTTTGGCAATTCACAACTGCTAGGCAGTGATTCTATCCAAAACGGCGCTTGTCTGTGCCCTGTCTGCGCATAGGAAGTCTATGCAATCTTCTTGGTCCCAGTGAGAGGGGCCAGGGCGTCAAGTTCGGGGCCAATTGTAGCTGGTCACAAAGTGTCCGGAAGGGTGGCCGGCAAGAGAAGCTGCCGTCAGGGAACACCCGTCGGCGGTGGTGAGTTCTGAGAGGGTGGTGACTTGGAGATATTGGCGGCACCAGTTGAGCCACAGCAAGTCCTCTTGGTCGACCAAGGCATCGATGAAGATGTCCATCAAGAGACGATCGTCGACACAGTGTAGGGACAAGGGAG